ACGGCCAAGCTTTCCTAAGAAAACACGCGCGGGCACTTGCTAAAGTGGGAAGTCCAGCAGCTCTCGGTACAGAAGTGCTACCAGTACTATTGCTCTCATCATCAATATCACTGTCCATCAATGTTCATCAAATCGCTTCCGAGGCAGATGTTGCAGAACGGAATTTTGCGAAAGGCGCGCGCAAGGAACGCTAAAAGCACACATGGCCTGGGAAGGTAAGTTGGCCACTCGGGCTTCTATGAAGCGCCCGGCTCTGCGCACGCCGGGCGAGAACATCACTGAGTTTCTAGCTTAGGTTGTAAATTTGCGGAGTGGGTTTAGGACCGTTTACTAAATACGTAGTTATTTACGCCCCCTGACTATATAGGACCCCAACAGACTTTCCAAACATGCGACATATGTATTAAATACAGGACTTGTAAATAGTAATTGGATCAGGTTTGTTGCACATCTCAAGAGAATGCTGCGGGCAAAAGCCCGCGAAAGGGCGGCGAAAGGGCAGTCTTTGGGAAAAAGAATCTTGGACAACTCCCATATATATATATATACACCTAAAATTGATGCCGAATCCGACCCTAAATCCTAAATCCTTCCAGGCTGGGCAGAGAAGGCACCAAGCAACTGCTCTCAGCGTATCCGCAGCTTCAAGGCAGCTTTACTTGAAGTGTTCCGGGTTAGGGAATACCTTGGAACGCAAGTTATCCGAAATGAAGGGGCTAGTGTATCCGAGACATGAAGAACGGCAACCGGATATTACAGTCTACCGGCATACAGGCTGGGGTTCAAGGAAAAGGGTTCGTTTTGGGGGAATAGGGTTTCGAGTTTGAGGACTAAGCTTTTGAAAAGAGGGTCCCAGGGTTAAATCATCAGGCTTTAAGTGAGGCCTCAAGGTTAAGTAGGCAGAGCGCAGGGTTCAGTAGTAAGGGATTAGGCCTCAGAAGTTTTGGAGGGCTAAAGACTCGAGGTTTGGGGATTAGGCGTCAGTTCATATTCCCGAATGCGTAGCAGAAGGGTTCCCGTTTTAAGGTTGGGGTCCAGGGGTGCAGGAGGCGACGCGAGGTCGTTGCGTTTGTGTTCGCAAGCGTTCGCAATCGTTCGCAAGCGCCCGCGGAGTGTCGGACTTGTGTCGGACTTGCGTCGGACACGAAAATCGTCGCGAAACGCAGAACTGTCGTCACTTTATACGTTTCGCATTACAAAAGTGTCAACAGTCACAGGGAGCGGGGGGTCGTGGTCGCGAAGCCCGGAACTGTCGTCACTTTTGGACTCGTCTCGTCTCTTCGCATATCAAAAGTGTCAACAGTCACAGGGATCGCGGGGGTCGTGGTCGCGAAACCCAGACATGTCGTCACTTTTGGACTCGTCTTGCGTCTTCGCGTCTCAAAAGTGTCAGCAGTCACAGGGATCGGGGGGGTCGTGGTCGCGAAGCCCAGAACTGTCGTCACTTTTGGACTCGTCTCGTCTCTTCGTGTCTCAAAAGTGTCCACAGTCACAGGGATCAGGGGGGTCGTGGTCGCGAAGCCCAGAACTGTCGTCACTTTTGGCCTTGCCTCTGGAGAGAGGAGAGGAGAGAGGAGAGAGGAGAAAAGAGAGATGAGAGGAGAGAAGAGAGACGAGAGGAGAGAGAGGAAAGGAGAGAGGAGAGAGGAGGGAAGAGAAAAGAGAGGAGAGGAGAGAGGAGAGAGGAGAAAGGAGAGAAGAGAAAAGAGAGGAGAGGAGAGAGGAGAGAGGAGAAAGGAGAGAAGAGAAGAGAGAGAGAAAGGGATGACCCCGGACCTAAGTCTCCAAAGTGGTTTCGCCCGTGGGGTGTTATTATCATTGCATGTACGTGACACGTGTCTGCATTCGGGTTCGTGGCTCCTATCTGGTTCTTTTTTGCAGTTTTGTTGCGCACTTTCTGGCAATGTAACCCACAGAGCCCTCCCGAGACTCATTTTCTTAGTTCAACGTGTTCGTAAGTCGCGCTGTCGCTGCAGACGCTTCTACTTAGTGCAATGTGCTTTGGAATCGGAAGTGGTGCAGGCACGCACCTCTTTTTTCTGGAGCTATTTTGTTGCTGCAGACACATTGATTGGAAGGGTGCATGCAAGGGCTGGGGTTTTAGGGGACTCAGAGCGCTGAAAATGACATTCCAGAGCTGCCACGCAGCTTTGGAATTGAACCACTAGTCAAACAGCCTGATGGACGAGCCAGCAGTTGCTGGTCCGTCGAAGAGTTCTGTTTGAAGACTGATATCGCCCCACTGCGGCAGCTCACGGCCCCTAGCCAGGCGGGCTTGAAAGAACCCATCAGCATGGACAGGCAGTTACTACAGCTGTAGCGCATTGCGCACCCAAAATGATTTCGACGTGGTGCAGTCATGACATTGTGATAGTGTGTAATTTGCCATGTGCAAAGCTGACCTTGGTGCATGTACTCCTCGTCGTCCTTATGTGTGACTGAATTCTGAGTTTGCAAAAGGGTTCATCCAAAAAACATTCGAATGTGAAGAGCGTGCTTGTGCTGAGGGCGGCTGCCTTTCTCAGATATCTGAGGTGCACTACAACAGTTGGTACGATTTCTACAGCTACCAGGATACCGCCCCAAGACTTAGACGGCCTGGATGTCAGAGCTTTGCCAGGACGAGGGCTTCAATGGTGGTTTCAAGGACAAGGGACTGGCTTGCACACTGTGGTAGTCGGTAGCGACAACCCACCTTGCAGGACCCATGGCCAAACGAGACGCTAATAGCTTCTCTGCGACCGGATAAGATGAGCGAAGGCACTCGGACTCAATGCAAGTTTGAAGGAGTTTCCATTGGCGATTACATTTCTCACAGTTTTCCGAGCGGGGGCTTGCAACGCCCCTGTTTGGAGGCAGCTGCTTGCAGAGGGTCGAAGCCTTCGGTGAAGAAGTGGTTAGAAAGCGTGGCGCGCAGCTGGACAGAAATTGTAGCAATGATTGCACACCGATGCTGTCACATGCCAAGTTGCAGCAGGACTCTTTCCTCTGGGATGACGGCTGGGATGATCCTCAGACGCTGTGGGAATTCGATAAAGCTCGCTTCCCACAGCGCTTTGACAAGGTTGCCAAGCTGGCAAAGGAGTACGGAGCTGGGACAGGCGTTTGGCTTTCACCCTGGGGCGGATATGGATTTACCCAAGAGGCCAGGGTGAAATACGGAAAGCGCCAGGGCTACGAGACCAACTACAATCGGAACATCCAATCCGAAGCATTCAGTCTGGCTGGGAAGAAGTACCGCAAAGCTTTTCACGAAACTGCCATGAGCTTCAGGCGCGAGCAAGCTGTGAACATGTTCAAGTTCGATGGTGTAGCTGGCAATCCTACCGAGCTCGGTATGGAGATGGAGGCAATGTTGCAAACTATAGCTGCATTGCGAAGTGAGAAGGTGAAAGAATCAAATGGTAAAGATGAAGATGATGTCTGGATCAACCTGACAACGGGGACGTGGCCCTCTCCATTCTTTTTGTTTTGGGCGGACTCAATTTGGCGAGGAGGTCCCGACATCGCCACAAGGCCGCGAGACTGGTACGGGCCTGTCAGGGCCCCAGAACACGTCAAAAAGGGACCCTTCACATTGCCACCACTGAGTGAGATTGGCCTTGACGGTTTGACTGGTCGACAGCGCTGGATTCGCTGGCGCAGCATGGTTGTTTACATCCTCGTTGTCCGCCGGTCAACCTTCTTCCCTCTGTCGCAACTCATGATTCACGGTGTCGTCGTCGCTTCCCACGGTGACGCCTTGCACTGGGGGCTTGACAAATTTGACAGCGTGGACTTCGCACAGGAAGTTTGGTCATTTGTAGCGCTAGGACTGCAGCTGCAAGAGCTCTATGTGGCACCCCGCCACATGACCACAGAGGCATGGGACATCCTTGCTGAAGCCCTGAAGTGGTCTCGTAGAGAGGCAGCCATCCTGCGAGACAGCCATTGGGCCTTCGGTGATGTCACAAAGTACAAGATCTATTGCGTTGCTTCGTGGGATGTTTCGGGCATGCGCGGGTACATGCTTCTACACAATCCATCAGGCAGGATGCTTGGCGGCAAGTAGCACTGCAAAGCCCTCGGAGCCTGCGAGGCGCGCCTCAAGGAAGTGCAGAACTCAGCCCACTCTTTTGTCAGTACAGGAGTGTTTGGGGTCTTGCTGTTGCCAGTGTGCCAGCCCAGCCTTCTGAGCTGTCAGGAAGTCAGATCACCATCTGCTCTAAATCCATTCTGAGCTGGGAGAACTTGTGAAATGGGTCTGGCAGCTTAGGCGCTTCCTTCACCCTGCAGGAGGCCAGAAGCCGGCAAGTGCTTCAAGGTATCGTCTGCCTGGGTCAGCAAAAGCATGCTGCTCAGGTATTGGAACTCCCGTTGAGCCAAAAAGGTGACACCTTTACTGTTGCTCTGGTGAAGAGCGCTTTTCGGCCAAGTGAGAAGAGGCCAAGCTCGCAGACTGAAAAAATCCCGAGCACAGTCCTGCCAAGTGCAAGCAACCATCACGCAGGGAAGGTGCTGAGCGTCTCCCCGGGTGGAACTGCACGGCGCCTGTAGCTCAGCTGATCAGTTACAGGATCTTGCAGACTTGTGGACAGCCTAGTAACGTGCAAGTTTTCAGGACTTTCCATGATGGAAGCGATTCCGCATGCAGGCTGGAGCCAATTGCTTTGGCATTGCTTGGGCAGCTGTCAATGGCACATGTGAAACATGATGCCAGGTTGCCAGCCACGGCAAGGGTGCAGATTGTTCTAGAGGCAACGGAGGCTCCCCGCTTCCAGCAGGCTTAGCTTGTGGCAGCCTCTTGCAAGTGAGCAGAGGTGCTGGTCCTCTCTGTGGCAGGGAGCATTGAGGTGTGAGCCAGGTGAGTGACAACCTCCGAGAGGAAAGAGTTGACATGCAACTTATGGTTATGCTTGGTTTGATGCCGTAAGCTGTGTCTCAAATGCCGACCCGTGTACAGCGGCCCATCGCAGCGAAAATTCCGATCTCGCAGATGCACCGTTTGCAACGGCTGCGCGTGTCCCTCGCAAGATGGCGAGCCGCTAGATGACTTTCCAAGCAACCTTGGCTGCCAGGTCAGACCAATCGAAGACGCCCCAAGTCATGGAGCCCAGCACCCAGACCTCCAACACCTCGCCATAGCTGAATGGCAATACGTCGCAGGTCGTCCTCCAGATGAAGATTTCAGCGGCCAGACAGCAGTGCAGTCGGTGGCAGAAGACCTCGGCTTGGATGGGCTCGCTGCAGGCCATGATTTCTTCTTGAAAGCCGTGTCCCGCTTCTTAGGTGATTTGTTTAATTACTTGTAAATATGCTGGTCGGGGGAACACGGGAACTGGCACCGCAATAGCTAGGCCTCGAGGATTGGACTGGCGCGGTGCGCTCCCTAGGAAGTTGGCGCCAGCGGCTCCCGCATGGATACGCGTCCTTGCAGACCACGCTCTTGTGTTTTTTCCATTACAAACTGTATGAGCTCTCATTGCACTTCACTCCTCCAGGCCTGATTCCTTGCACACGTCACTTGGCACACTCAGGCTGCAGATTTGGTGCGCCTGGAGATACGAATGGAGGGCCGGGCGAGCGATAGATAGCAATAGTAAGGGGGATGTCGCTCAGACCGCTCAGTAGACCAAGGTCTAGAACGCCTCCCAGCCCTATCGCGAGTACCTCAACTTCGTGCCCAGAGCTCAGAAGTGAGTGGCAACTGCATGTCAATGCGCAGCGCAATGCCTGACACTGCCTTCTGCCACTTAACAAGATTCTGGTGCTCAGCGGCAACAAGATCGCAAGCCTGGCCCGAGCCTTGCACTTCCACACCTGCTTCGCGCCAAGACGTCGGTTCAGAATGCAGGTTACTAATGTACCAAGGAAGCTCTTCAAAGTTGTCCCAAGCTTGAGGAGAGATGGATGGCTGCGACCATGCAGACAATTTGCACTTGGCTTGTTGCGCATGTGTCGCAGGAGCTTGATCTCTGCCAAAATGCCCTGACATCTTTGGACGGGCGCGAAGCTTTCTGGGATGTTACACAGATGCTGCTCTGCGACTTGCAGGAGTTCGGCTTGCAGAGTAGACATGCGTAAAATCGTGGAGCCTGCTACCCAGGTTGAGGCATCTCAGACATCTCTCCGCACGGGGCCAGGATGCGGATGGAAAGCAAGCTGCGGCCTTTGGGGATCATAAGGTCTTCAAGGCAACCATGAATGCAATCACGGATGCCGAGGCCCTGAGTGTAGGTTCAACTTAACCAGCAATTTTGAGTGCATTTGAGTTAAAGTCGCTTGGCCAGGATCTTTCACAACTGCCACAGCTTCGCGTGGAGGGCTGAATATATTACCACAGAATGCAGGATGTCAGCAATGAAGATTACGGGGCAGTCCTCCTTACATGTGGAAATCCTTCACATGTGCTAAACACAATTCGAGACGAACAGCATACACAGACCACAGCAACGCTTTCGTCAGGCACACGTACAGCAAAAGTGAGAAGATCCAGTTACTTTCAGGCTGTTGTACAATGCACAAGCGGCCGAATCTAACCAACCGGCAATCCTCAGTACAGCATGCAATTTGGTCACGCAAGCACATCTCAGCCTCGATTAGCTACAGGGCGCAGACAGGTTTATAGCTGAGATTTGCTGAGCAACTCTTTCATATGCCGTACTTAATCTGTTGATGCCTCTAGTATGCTCAACACCTCTCCATTCCATGCGTTTTCCTCGGCGTCATCGAGCATTCCAGTGCCTCTTGGCATGCGGCAAGGGCAAAGTGGCCTCTTCCTGTCAAACTTAGTTCCTTCCGCTAGCACGTCTTCACATCCCGCACCCATGATTTTGCCTCAAAATTATTATCTGGCAGCATGGTAGGGTGGATTAATTTCTGACAAGCGCATGCTATGGCAGCTTGTGTTAACAGTATCCTAAAACGCAAACTACCATAGCAAAGTTATTGAAGCAGATACTTTTAGGCATTGCGGAGCAAACTGTATTCGATTTTGCGAGGTACCGGTACCAAAGGAAATTCAGGTCCACAGGTGAGCGCTGCAAAAGACTCAGTATGGAGATGTACAAAGCAGAGGGACACAGGGATGATACTCATGACGTAATTTATTGCGACGATACCGGACCATCCAGACATGTGAGAGCATAGCAAGAGCCCGGCGTTTGTCAGTGTACAAAGCTAAACCACGATGGCCAGAGCTGGCCAGGAAGCATTGCGACATCCCTTAGATTTGTTAAAGCACTCTTGTTCTAGCTGGGGGTGGTATCATGATTCGCATTTCCCCAGCATCGACACCCGCCTCAAGAATGAGCAGGGTTGTGGAAAGTGTGCCGGTTTGCGGTTAGACTGCCCTGCATGCATCAGAACGGTTGCCATACCAGAGGTCGTGGACCTTAGCAAGAATCGCTTGACTTCGGTTAGGATCTCAGTCTGCATACCACCAGAGGCTTGAAAATCATCTTGCGCAGACACGTCCAACAGGTTCACCTCAGAGCAAAGGGACTTGGCAAGCCTGGTCCAAAGCCTTTTTGATGAGCACCAAAGCCATTACTCCGATCCGTTGGTTTTTGCACAGGCTCGTTTTGTACAGAAATACCCTGGACTCGGCAAGTTTCTTGCAAGAGTTGCTGCGGCCTCAACTCAATATGTTGAGGCCTTGTGGGGACCCAGGGCCGCCAGAGCCGAGGCCGTCACTGACCCAGCTGGATCTTGGGCGTAACAAGCTCACGGAGCTGGACCCTGGCATCTCCCAGTGCCTTGGCCGCTTGCAGTAAGTGGCCAAGCCGTGGATAGTGCACACCGTGGCAGGTGGAATCCTTTGCTCACCAAAGCCTTCTTGTATGAGAACCGACTGGACTGGCCCTGATTTCAAAGAGTTCTTTCTACTGACATCATCACCAACCCACAAAGGTGTCACTTCCAGAGCTGCACCTGCCGTTGCTAACCGATCTTTGGGTGCGGTGCCTATGGCTCTTGAAGATCAAGGGTTCATTATGGCTGCGTGCCTTTTCATGGCTTCATGATGTCATGCCTGCCGCTCCTCAACTGCCGATTCTGGATTTTGGCCAGCTTCAGCTGTAGAGTGAGGAGGGGGCAAAGTTACTTTTCTTCAAAGCAAGAGTAAAGCTCATGTTGCTTCCAACCCAAACAGCAGTCAGCCCAGCCCAACTGTAACCTGTAAAGCTGATGGTGCAGCTTGGCAGCGTTCCTGGCAACGCCCGCAAAGCCCGCGGTGTGGGCCCTAAAGCCTCCAGTGAATTGGGGATTACCCTCGTGCCGGGAGGCATATGGTGCTCGTGCGGGTAGGTGCCATGCAACTTCATCGTCATTGGCTCGGACACTTCAAGACAGGAATCGTAAGAAACTTCCACATCCAAAGCTGCAGGTAGCCAAGCGCGAGCGGGGAATGGCAAAAGTTGGTATCTCAGCTTTTCAGATCGTTTTGGAACAATTTGGAGCAGCGCTCAGGCTGAGGATTTAAATGCAGATGATGCAGAGGCTCCTTTCCCGTCGGAGAACATAGTCAAGGCAGCGTGCATGGGATCGACCTTTACAGCTGCATTTGCCGACATATGGCAGGTTCCACTGGGGGCGTTCAAGAACCCTAAGTTCCAACAGCTGGTGGAGGCTTGATGGTTCGGCTGACAGCTCAAGAGCTCCGGCTTTCAAAATGGGCAGGTTTACAGCCGCGACTTGAAACAGCTTGCTGGGCTTCCCAGCTTCTCGAATCTGATCATTTTCGGTACTGTAGAGTGTCAGCTGAGGTTCAAGAGAACCTTCGCTTGAGGGTTGAGCTTGGCCTGGACCAGGACGGAGACTAACAAGATTTGACCAGCATGAATTTTTCGAAGTAGCATTTGGAAGCATGTCTTGGTCCTGCAGCTCTCAGGATGCCCCTCTGGACTGGGACTCTGATGAGGATTCCGACCCTTGGGAGGATCATCCGCTGCGACAGGTTCATCCAAAGGGCCACCCACGTAGGTTCCGAAGACCGGCTTCGCACTTTGCGCCAGGTCGTCTCTGCCCTCTCTTCTCCGGCTGTCGGGGCCTTGGCGCCGGTGTAGCTGCCAGCGAGACCGTAGCAACTGAGGGGATCGTGACTCGCACCAGATCGGAGCCCCCACCATCTGTTGCAGAGACATCGCAGGCGACATGCTTGCCTGTGCTCCTCTGCCAATTCGTCTTGAGACCATGATGTTTGCACCAGAAGGTTACTTGTTCACGGCATGGTGCATGCAAAGATATCATGGAGATTGCTGGCATATTAGTGAAGAGGGTTACAGTGCGACCGATAGGCGGAACTCGAAAGCAGGAAATCGCCCTGGCCTAAAGCACGTGATTTGCCACTCGCTGCAAGCTGCTGTGGGTTGCACGTGGACAGCTCAAGTCAGGTCGTCTTTCCAAGCGGAACGCTACCAGGTGCTGCCTCAGCGCGCGGCTCATGTTGCCGTCCTTGCAGCACGTCTGATCCCCTGTAAGATTCAGCTACGGTGCAGAAGTCAGGTTCCTGAGCACACCCTTGGACAAAGCAACAGACAGGCAGTTCAAGGCGACATGATGTTGTGGGATAACCCTGTTGGTGCCCTGCCCCTTTATGCTGTCAGGCCACGCTGGTGCAAGACCTCCGACGTTTCTCCGAAGCCGTGGAGATGCGAACCCTTGGCAATGACAATGAGAAGAAGATGTCCTGCTACGACCTTTTTGTCAATCTGCTGAGCCAATTGAAGCTGCCGGCTGAGTGTCCCTGTGTATATAATTGCAACAGAGACACATCCTGCACATACACCACAAGTTGCCTCAGGCTTCCAATGAGCTCGTGCCTCAATAGCTTAGGACACATGATAGCAATGGGCTAGCGGCCAGTAAGCTCAACAAGCTCCAAGGTCCAAATTCAGAAATCGCATTGACTTGGGACATTATTGGCAGAAGCCTCGGCAAGAAGCCTCGGCCGAATTTTGTACTGCTTCTCAAGTCTGAAGAGGATCTGTTGCCAGGTCTGTTTCTGATTGCGTATGATGTTTTTGCGATCCCATTGCAAGCCTTTCCACTTGGCGAGGAGATAGACTGCACCCTTGCTTCCACTAGATCAGCTAAGACGTAGACTCCCGCAAAAAACAGGATGTCTTCACCGAAAGTATGGGGTGGATCACGCTCTGCTTTTGGACGGCTGATATGGCAACTTGCTACAAATCCAGTCCCAGGCAGCGTGCAGTCAGATTGGATTGCAAGAATGCCACAGCAAAGGTTGTCAGCAACATTGTCGGGTTCTTTGATGGGCCACAATTAGTGATGCAGCAGTACCGCATCACATTCAGCCGCTTGTCAGCATTGTCATGGGACTCAACGCTTAGACGAAACAATGCGTGCTGTGGCAGCAGCATATTCGGCTGAAAGTTGTCTGCAGTGCTGAGGATATTTGCGAACTTGGTTTGTGCTGGACGCAGTAGTTGTGATACCTGACTGGCTCACAAGATTGGCACAGGACTCCGCGTGTGAAAGCAGGGTTGACCAGGTGATCAACATACTAGCCGCAGCATCCACAACATTACGGGAACTCACCTCGTGAGGATCAGTCGCACGATTTTGCCTCAGAAGTTTCTCTGGGAATCATTGGGCGGGTTCAATCTTGCAGTTTGCGCTTTGCTTCGCACTGGCTGGATGCAGGCAGGTTAAACTTGTCACCGACGTACCAGCACCACGGGGCTCACGTCAGATTTGTCTTGCTAGTTTGCATGATGCCTTTTGTGCGCAAGCAGCCATCGGTATGCGTGGCACCTGATGCATTGGCGTAGCCCGTGGCATGATGATACGGAACTCAATTTAGTTCAGGAAGAACTTGAACTCATGAACCAGGCACATCTTTTGAATGTGGTTTGGCGGCACAACTTGCACTTCGTGGACCTGCTGTCTGAAATTCAAGTAACTTCAGAAGATTTGGCCTTTGCAGAGCCTTTGCGACAGGCAGGGAAAATCAGCGAGGCATTGCCGGTGGCGTTGCTCAAGACTCAAAACTGCGCGCTTTGCCAGCCCTCTGCCAAAAAGGCAAGTTTCAGCTTATAAGCAAAACGGCACATGTGACTGGCACACCAGCGCGGGAGCCTTATGGAGTGGAGAAAATGTTTTTGCAGGCTTTACGGACTTCGTTTTGATGTTGTTCGCCTGCGCATGACGCACCCTGATTTTGTGGGCGGACCGCTTTGAACGCTATGCCGGGCACAGAAGGGTGACATGCGATGTTGCAGGTGAATTAGTTTTAGTTACTTCGGCGTGTTTAGATCTGACTCGTTATTGATTCGACCAGTGGGAGCTGCATTCAGCACATACGTGAGCGATCGGCCACTCCCTGTGCTCCTACCTCGAATAAAGTTGAGAGCAGAAGCCTTCGGTCATCAGTGTCACTGAACGCTCCACAGCCTACTGAATGGATACGACATATTGCGTGCCTGCTGTTCCAAGAGAACTTCATCGCAGACCCAAAGAACTTAAGTTGATTGTCTCACCAGCATTCCGTTGCAACTTGGAACAAACATTCTGAGTTGCCTGACAGGATAGCAGCTCGGCCACTTGGTCGCATTCTTTGACACAAGCCCTGTCAATCCTTTGGCTACCTTCAACAGCTCTGTCCTGCAGGGTCTGTTGGCAAGCGTTGGGCGAATTCTTCGGTCCGCACGCGCCATTCGAGTGATCCGCTTGCTTCTTGGTTGAAATTGGGGAAGCGTTGGTGGCATTGAATGCCGCATCGGGTTGGATTCTGAGTTAGCTGGAGGATCAGTAAGCAATCGAGGCTTCGCTTGTTAAAGCTGCAGAAGATGATGAACAAGTTGTATGCACCTACTCCGCATTCGATTGTCGTTTATGACAGCTTGATGTGTAGTACTGGCATCTTGGCAAAGACCAAACGTTCGAGCCATAGGACTTCATCGACTCTGAGTACCTTTTCATCGTGATGGACATTTTGCGGCTGCTGCTGTTCATTGTTGCTGCTTGTCGGGCTGGGTCAGCTTCTTTTGCTGATTTGCCACTTTTCATGATTCGAGAGGAATGAAGAGGATCCTGGAATCGTCTCCTGAGATGCATGCCTGCTCCATGTCCACTTAGGTTTTAAACCACGTTATCGCTTGCCTTTGGTATCTCCTTGGCTACATAGGCGAAGACAAAACACATGGTTCTCAAGTGCCGCCAAACGAGTGTGCATCTAGCTTTCCTGGCCAGACCTGTCAGGGCATGAAGCCAACGAAAAGAATGCCAACGAAAAGAATGGCTCGAGGACACCGAATTGGCTGGAGGACACCGGATACACGAAGGTTCTTGGCTGCAAAGACAGCCGATGCACGGCAAAACTGTGTGACTCTTCGCGATCCAAGGTGATAGACGGGTCAATTGCATGGCAGTACACCACTGCGCTGCACTGGAGTCTAACTCAGTTCACACCTGCAGGCATCCGACTCCCTGTGGCTGAAGATCTTATCAGGAAAAGAAATTCAATCGTGCTTACGACGGGCACGCCCTACTCAGGTACATGTAACAAGGAGAACATGACATGCAATTCTGTCACACCTCCTCTCGCAACAGAGAGAGCTAGGAGTCTGGAGAGTTGCATGCTTGTTGATTTCTTGTGTTTGGGGCTCTAGTGGTACTGCACTTGACGCAAGCAAGGAGTTGTTTGTCAGGGAGCATGGCACCTGTCCGACAACTTGGTTTGTCCATCATAGCGCATCCCTTGTGTACTTTCAGTGGCACCCCGGCAGGCATGGACGTCTTCGCGCGAAATGTGCCAGAGCGCGTAATGTCGGTCATTGTTCTCGGCTTTGCGGTGATCATTTTCTCATCCGTTCTAGCGAGCGCCCTTCGTTTGCAGTTCATGTCAGGCTACATGTTGCCATGCTTGCAGGCGCAGATCACACGTTGCCTTGTGTAGTGCTGATACCAAATTAGAGAGCTTGGTCAAGCAGATGCTTGCAGAAACTGGTACAGATACAGGTCAGCGCTTCTATGACGGCATTAAGGAGTTTGCAGGCATATGCTGCCTTGAGCTTCTGTGTGGATGTGAAGGATGTTCAGTATACTGCTGTCGCGTGTTGACAGGGTGATTCCAAGAAGCAGTTCTGGCTGCTGCGCAGATATCTGCGGCGCAAAAAGGCACGACTTCGAAGCTGGCGCCTGGCGCAATTGCATGGCCAAGTTCATGACTGTGTTTTTGGGACAGGTCACAACTCCTTCGCGGGTCCGAATCATAAAGTTCTTGGAGCATGTTGTCATGCTACAGGTGTGGAGACGCCAATGCTCTAAGTGCTTCTGCTAGAATGGAGGTTGTGCTGCGGAAGCCCGAGTTGTTTGCGAGGCAAAGACGGTGAAGTCCGCCGATGTCACGCTTCTGGGAAAGCTGTCGGAACCTCTCAAAGAGCTTCTTGAGTATGAGGTCCACAAGGAGACTGCGCCGTGCTCAGTCTGCGGGCCTGAAGGAGACGCAGAGCGAAATCTGACTACGCTGCAGGTCATGCTGCACCCGTTCTTCCATTACCTGGGCGAGTGCGTGCTTTCCTTGATGGTCGTTGGCTTGGCAAAATCAGGAGTTCTCTTGACAAAAACACGCACAGGCATCGTTGCATTCTGAGCTTCACCTCAACGATTTCGTTCCCAGAACACACGGGTTGTTTGGCACGATCGGAGCTAAGGTAAAGCTATGCGCGGCGGCAGTGAGACAGGCCAAGTATTTGGACAACAGCGTGTGCAGACTGTTACATATATTCCGTGCCAGCGTACACAGGTCCAGTTCGCTCTGCAAGACTGCATCTTTCGAGCTGGTACATGGCTGCAAAGACCCCTACCAGCCAAGTACCCCTCCAGGGACTCTAGAGTGCTCAAGATTCAATTTTCAAGCCGCGAAGATCTGAATAACAGTAGCCAAGACACACGCAAGGTGATCTTGGTGAGCATATGTTCTTCATAACCAGCCCCGGCCCAAGCTTGTGGACCTGCGACTTTCCAATTCAAGCTTGCTTGAGAGATTGATTAATTGAGAAGCGAGATGTGCATGCTTGATGCCAGACAGCCTTGCCGGGAACATGCCATGTAGAAAAGGAAGACAGTTCCAGCTCTTCATGTGGGCATGCTCACTAGCCCACATGCCTGTACCACCAGAGCTGGAGGAGCCAGCATTGCGCTGTGCACATGTTGCTTTAGCATATTCTGTCCTGTGCTGCCCAGGTGGAAGCGCCAAGTACGCATACTCAATCGCAAAAGCCCAAAAATGCGAGGCGCAGCTTCATGTCGTGGTCACAATATGTCACAATGGTTGAGAACCTTGAGGAAGGGCCCTTGCCTTGGGAGGAACTGCATGAGGGAGATTGGTTGGCCGAAGCTTCCTTGTGGACGCAGTGGAGTCACCGCGGACTGCACGCTTCTCAGATGTCACGCTGTTCACTTGCGAACATGCACGAAGGCAGCTTCAATTTTCCAGGCTTATGATTTCTTCCCAGCCTACAGTCTTGCTGCTGCTATCGCCACACGCCCAGCAACCGTTGTTTGAAGCGTTCCGGGTCAGAGCCTGCTAGAAACTGAGATGTATGAGGTCGCAAGGATTTGGAAATGTCATGCGGATGAGCCAAAGCTCCTACGTCCTCTGCAGGAGATGCACCAGACGTGAGCAACTGAAGAAGCGTGAAGTCCAGTAAGCTTCATGCAGGCGGTTCGTGTTTGCCTTCGTGGCAGAGCTCAATGCCATGGAGAGATTTTCGACAGCAGTAATGTGATCAAGAAGCTGGACCTAAGCTTGACCTTAATCGAATAGAGACGAAAACCGCTCGCAGTGGGACACTCGTCCGTCCAAGCCCACTGCTGACAGTACAGGTAGAGGCGAAGCATCGGACATGCCTTGGGGTCATGCCCTAAGCAACAGAGCGGTGTATGAGCAGCCCTGCGAAGATTTGCGTCAGACCCGTGGCAACTGAGACCCTGATGTCATTAACGACATGACATTGGAGAGCGCAGAGTCCAGCGGGCTGGCAGCAATCCAGTGCCTTGACTGATATTTGGAGCTTGTTTGTGTCGGCATTTGGTGCAAGATTGCGAAAGTATTGCTTGTTCAAGTAAAGCTGGCAAGGCGACGGACGTCGAGGAAGCAATGACTCAGTGGTAGTGTAAGTGGGCAACCCGTAGAAGATTGCCAGCTCAGCCGTGGAAGGCTCTTGTACAAATCATGCCAGCTGTTAACGCAGCTAGGGTCGGGTCATTCTCGGCAAGTGCCGGCACCCGGAGTTTCGGCTGCCTATGTGCAGCATTTTCGTGGCATAAAGACACGAGCTAATGCAACTGCAGCTCTTTGCCCTCGTTTCGCTCAGGCTTGTTGGCACAGCTTCTTTTTAGATGGCATTCATGCACATGATGCGTCAAATAGCTGAGAGCAGACAGAGAAGGGCACTGCCTTTCTACTCGCGTTTCACAGCGCACTTGCACTACTAAGTAGGCAAGGAAAGCAATCGCATAGCGTCCTTCCGCTGCTCTTTCTGTTCAACTGGCCCTTTCGTTTAAGATGTGCACAGTGTGTGCACAGGTTGACAACAACTTGATTGAGCACTTTGGGCCGCTTGGATTTCTCCCCTCCCTGGAGCGGCTCCAGGCGAGAGAGCACGCGGTTCATCATAATTAACTGGAGGCAGGACATGTGGGCATGTGAAGGCCAAGCACAATCGGATCCGAAAGCTCTCATTCCCGCTTGCCGTGCTGACCTGAGCCTGCATGTTTTCCCTGCTGCGCTGGCACCACGGTCCAAGGCCAGTCCACTGCTGAAGACGTTGGAGCTCGTCCCGGCCCCAAATCCTACAGCCAAGTTCATGGGCTGGCTTGCCTTGCAAATCGTGTCATTTCTCCTGGTTGAGCATGACATGCAGTTGTCAACTAGTGTTTCTGCCGCATAACTTTCAAATTTTACCGTGTGAAATGCATGCTGGAGCAGGAGCCACACAAGGATGAACAATGTGCTTAAATGTCTCGAGTACACATGGATAGGCAAACATGGCCGGGCTAGATGCACGTATGACAGCAAATGAAAGCGCAAGCAGTTGTCCAAATTTCTTGCGATGCCACACCCACCTCGCCGAGATGACATAGCGCAGGAGCTGCAGATGCTGCAGGTTGCAGACACAGAGCCAGGGCAGCCCGCTGACTCTGGTGAGGAAAGAAGACTCAGACAGAAAGGAGGGCATGAGATGGCATGAGAGGGGGAGAGTGAAGGAAGAGTGACCTTTGGGTAAGGGCTTATACTCAAACGGGTTTACGCTTTCTTGGTGCTTGCAAGGATGCCGCCGATCTGACGCCTGCACTCTTGCCCGGCGCCGTGTCATCTGTTCTGCACCCACAGAAGTGGACGGAAGAGCAAGTTCGCGAATGGTGGGACAAGCGAACAAAGAGGACCAAGGAGGTGGAGCCGCTTTCCAAGGGTACTGATGGTCGCAACATCATGCGATGGAATGTCAGCCGATTTGAGCAGATGTGCAAAGGTGACAGCAACCTTGCTGCAGCTTTGTACCAGGACTTGAGGAACGAAGTCCAACGCTTCGAGCATTACCGCAAGACTGGTGTTGTTTTGAAGGTGGCATCTATTGCACCTAAGCCAGGGCCTTGCCAAAAAAGACGGCCCTCCGCGACGAGATCAAAGCCGGCCCCGACGGCCTGCCAGACACAGCCACTGCCCAAAAATGGATTGCAGTTCAACCCGGCAACCAGGGGAGCTAGACAGAGCTTTTTGGAGACAAATCCCAAGCCGAAATTCCTCACCACCAGCAATCTCAATCCAGATAAAGCTGTCCAAAAGATCGGCGGCGGTTCCCAGGAGCGGAAAGCCGCAAAGGTCGCGCCCGCCCCAAAGGCACAGCACCGCTCCTCGAGCAACGGCGCGTCGGGACGACAAAAGCCGGCACTGCGCCAGGCAGCCTCCAAGGATGTTGGTTTTCTCGGGGAAGCTCCCAAGCGAGATCCCCTCAAGTTCAACGATCCACCTGAGAGAAGACGATCCTTGGTCATGGAAGACATCAGCGATGCCACTTTGCATCAGCTTAGCACGGCACCCCGAGTCAGCGAGAAGGTCGAGCCCGAGAAGCCAAAGGCCATGGACGACACTGCAATCATACGGCGTACCAAATCGGCACGCTTGGCGGGAGACACTAAAGGAAAGGAGCCGGAAGAGGATGCAACCAGACAGATGTTTGACAAACGGGAGTTGCGGAAGAGGCACAAAGACACGTATGCACAACACATCAAATCTTGGTGTGAACGGCGCTCTGGTGAGGAAAGCTCAGCACCGGAGCCTTGTCGCGTGCGGGTCTATGTTCGAAAGCGTCCTCTCTTCCCACACGAGGAAGAGGCGGACGAATTCGATGTTGCAACCGTGACGGGCCGCACGGTCATCATGCACAATTGCTTGACCAAGGCAGACCTGCGATCGCTTTTCGTGTCTCATATGGGGTTCCAGTTTACTCATGCCTTTCATGAGTCGGTGTCGGACGATGAAGTCTACCAACGTTGTGCATCTGCAGCAGTGCAGCATGTGCTGAGTGGTAACATCGCGGCGCTCTTTATGTTCGGACAGACTGGAAGTGGAAAGACACATACAATGACCGGGCTGCTCCAAAGAGCTTCTGAGAGGGAGTGGGACCGTTTGCAGATTATCTTGCATCCTAATATCCCTTAATGATTAATGACCCGTAATGATTGATAAAGCCTAAGCAATACATTTCGTGAATCCGGTAGCCCCAGGTGCTGCGAAGCCCACTTCTAGAATTCCCCACCTAAGATGAAACATCACGAAAAACAACTTGTGTCTAAGGAACATGTAAATAGCATACAAAACTCCTACCACTCCTTGAGCCTTGAGGTGTACAGCCTAAGGCCTCAAAGACAACGCCCACTCTCAAAACATCCCTGCCGCATGATAGAAGAATGCCTTCTTAGTATCCAAAAGCTCCAATTGCAAACAAGGCTTCTGCACACATCTTTCAGCAGGAAAGCAAGGTCACGCTTACAGCTTTTGAAATAGCTGGCAAAGTGATGCGCGATCTTTTGGACACCAGCCCCAAGGAGCTCAAAATTCGGGAGGACAAGAGCGGCAAGACGCAGATTCTTGGTCTTCAAACACATGACGTGTCTAACGCTGCCGATCTCTTGCGAATCCTGCGCGATGCACAGGCACACAGAGCCACTCGAGCTACGCAGGTCAACGAAACTTCTTCCCGCTCCCATGCTGTCTTCCGCATTTCCAGAGATGCAAAGGATAGCAAGGACAGCGTGGCTACGCTCACTCTGGTGGATTGCGCAGGCAGTGAACGCCGGGAGGACACCACCCAGCATGATGCTCGCACCATGATGCCAATTCAGTAAAGTTGGCTTTGCTTCTGTGCTCTGCTGTCGTTTTGGCCCATCCTGAAAATTTTGCTTTGTAAGTCGATCTCGTGGCCTTCCCTGAACCAATGTCCCGATGCTCCTCCCATGCAGTAGCATCTTTGAGGGTGGTGGAAGACCGATGCCAATGTACTGGAGGTTCAACATGTTCTGCGTTTGCTTTCATCAGAATCTCAGGAAGCCGTCGAGATGCGGCAGAGATTAATTCTACAATTTTCGCCTTGAAGGAATGCTTCCGGGTCATGCGCTCCTCCAAGGGCCAGCCACCGTACCGAGAGAGCTTGTTGACACGGGTTCTTTCTGACAGCTTCGCTAGCGATCAAGCGATGGTCGTGGCAATTGGCACTGTGAGCCCGTCCGCGAAGGACACTGAGCATTCCATCGGGACCCTTCGCGCCTTACAACAACTCCAAGGTACTCAGATGAGTTTTGAGGAACGAACAGACCTGGTAAAGCCAAAGCAGGAGGTAGACGCTGGAGCAGCAGCAACTGCAGCTTTTGTTTACTCTCTTTTGTCTGCTTCTGAAGTCACTGAATTCGGACAGTTTAAGCGCAAGCGTTTGGAAAGGAAGTTCAAGCTCATCCCAAGACTTGGTCAGAGACGGAGGCCGGGTCCCGAACAGAAGTTCAGAAAATGCAAGCTGGCAGCCAATGCAAGCAATTCTGATTGAGGTGCGCCAGTGGTTTCAGGAAGCCTGTGGCGGGAAAGCAAAGGCGTTTGCTGCAAACATCTCGAAAGGCACAGACGGCAAGTTTTCAAGCTGCAACGGAGTGAGGAGGTTTGTAAGAAGGTCCTGCCCTGATGCAGAGTTGATACTCGCTGCACGTCTCCAAGGAACTTGCTACGTTGGCCCAACCAACGCTTCACCCAGCAATGTGAGGGCGACGAGGATCTTGGCAACCGCTTGTACCAGGCCTGATGCTATCGGGCTCTGCTTCCCTAAATGTGCTTGCACAGTGCTTGCACAAAAGGGCTCTTGATGGCTTTTGCGATCAGGAGCTCCGCTTGCGGATGCGAGCAGCAGGAGGGCCAGCATAAGCGAGAAGGCGTTGACGTGTGTTGCATCTTCGTTGGCGTTTAGAATTTAGACCGCAAACTAGCTGCGGACCATTTCTTGTTTCGTTTCAGATTGCCCACGCAAGATGGCTTGGGCAACTTTGAATACCCATTTTGCTATGCCAGTGCGCACGCGCTGGTGTAGCCACGTTTGTTAGTCAAGCTCATGCGTGAGCGAGAGCAGCAGAAGCTGCCATCTTGCTCGCTGCCTGGGCATTTGACCTGATGGGCTTTGTGATGGAACTCTTGTTGGCCTCCTGGGATTCCAGCAGAGGTCCCGCGGGTCCCACAGTCTCACAGATCCAAGGGGACATAGCTTATGGGACAGGTTGTTGGGGATGTGCCGCAAAGGATGTTGTGTCTTCAGTCCTGCTAGACCTGCAGGGACGTGCGCTCTGTTACATGGCCTTACGCCACAATTTTGGCCTGCAGACGCAGTCAAATCAATCCACACTCCGGTTACTCAGGCTTTCAATCGGCTGGACGGTTCTGAGCCGCACAAAGCTGCCCCTGCCTTGCATTACCTTGCATTGCCTTGCATTGCAGGTCCAGGGCTCGACTTGGAAAATCCAAGCCATGTTGCGAAGGTGCTACCTTTCCCACGCTTGACACGTTTGCAGCTGAATGACAACCCTGTGGTGCAGCGCCTAGCAACAACCCAGCGAAACATAGCGGGGCCAGAGGTTTGCTTCGCTTGACAGCTCTGAGCTTTTAGGCAGCAGAGATGATGGAGGACTATCGGTTTGGGGCTTGGAAGGATGTCCAGAGTCAAGCCTCATAGCGTGCTGAAAAGGCCCTGGGTGCTGACAATGGCACCGCAGTTGGAGGCGCTTGTCCTTTTCTGACAGCTTGAGCTTCGACATGGCACTATATCAGGAGCTTGACAATGAGACCGTCTCAGAGTCTGAGAGGCAATATGAGACGTTTCGAACGTTTGTTGAGCTGCTTAGCTGTGGGTGCTGCTTCCAGGCGGGAGCTGAGCGTGAAGGGTTTTGGCCAAGCGGGCCAGGCGAGAACAGCAATATCACTCTCAGCAAGGCAGGCGATTGATCAAGAGCCTCGTGCAGTGCTCATGTGCAATTTGCTTTGTTAGGGCGCTCGCCGAGATGAGCGACTGCCCAGCCTCCGCAAAGGTGCGACCGCACATTCATTTTGTGTGGACTCGGAAGCGCAGTCTGGCTCTGGCTAGGTTGGTGCCTGTGCTTCTGCTGACGGCCTTCTAGGCACATCGCGATAGAGTGAGGAAGTCTGGCTGGCAGAGTGCGCACAAAGATACACCTGGCACAAGGCTTGGTCAGTATGCCCATGACGATGAGCCGGTGCATTTGACGTGTTTAGGGTCATACTGACATGCTCAACCCAGCATCTCGAGTCCGTTCTGGCCCCGTGCAGGTCAGAGAACTGTCTGGCAGAGAACAGCACGAGCCCAAATCAAGGCAGGATTGAGATGCTTTCCATAGCAGCACCTTACCTCTGTCCAGCCAGGGAGACCCATGCGCGTGCAGCAGGCCGAGCCAGCAGCAGCTTGAAGATGTGGAGCTCGTTTAGATTCTACTTGTAAATAAAGCGCTTTGTATTTGGCTAAGCGGCAACACGTCTTTGATCACAACGCGGGATCACCACCATGCCTCTGCTGGTGAGAGAATACCTGCACACCATCCTGCGGCATGGACCGGCATCACTAGCAGCGCGAGCCGAAAGGTGCTGTGTCGTCAAGTCTTCAGCATTCATACTCGTCCGACCCATGGTGTGCGGAGGAATCTTTGCCCAGTTTGCTTTGACATTCCAGATTCAGGGTAAACACAGCTCCGATTGGCCAGTACAAGATGGCAAACGGCCCCGGCCTGCAATTCTGACATCCGACAGAATGCACATCCAAGCTAATCTTGTCTTGCCAGCCCCCGGTATCGCCATGACTTTTGGCATAAATGGGGAATGGTTCTAGTGGTCCAGGTGAAAGGCACAGGGCAACACGACCTCTGAACACAACAGGTTTGGTTTGTTCGTGAGGAGAGCACTGTCTCAGACTATGTTGCACTCTCCTCGTCATCTGCGGCAGGCATTGGTTGACAGGTGGAAGGCTGGATGGACGACATTTGGCGACATCACTGAGGATGGTGGCTGTCAGATGTGCGCGCGTGGCTCACAGTCAGCTTCGCCCGCTGGGCATCACCATGCTGGCTTTGTTAGCTTGTTGGAGTTTCTGTTCAACCCTGCCCAGCTGCTTAGGCTTGCAGCCTGGTGTGAGGCAGATCGTTTCCAGCTTGGCATTATTGAAGGTTCATTGAAGGGCTGAAGGCCCTGATCAAGCAGATGCAAGTGAATAGGGACCGCTTACTATCGGTTGCCTGTTCTGTGTTAGGCAGGCCCGTGTGTTTAGCCTGTTGGGTTCAAGTATCTGGCTCATAGCGCAGGCAATAGCCACCATATTCCGTGGCGAAATTGCATAGTTGTGAGATCTGTACATATTTTGCAATCTCTTGCAGAGTGTAGCCCCACCTCAGATGCTCAACGCTGCGCGGAGTGCTCCATTGGCAAGGGCCTTATTGCCTCACTTGGAAGTCAGGCTCTCAGGCAAAATGCCCAAACTCATCATGTCCCCTGAGGTGGCTCACACAAGAGACGAACGACGGGCTGTTCCAACCTTGGGCCAATGATTTTTTTGCAAATTGAGAATTGCCTGCTTTCCAGAGCTGTGCCATTTGCCCATCTAAATCTACTGCTGACATTGCTTGCTTAGAAGGAGGCTCTCAGAAAATTAGATGGAAAGAAGAACCTGCAGTTGCTGTACTTGTACCAGTCATAGGCTAAGCGTCTTCAGGCTTCAATTTGTGTGGGTGGGAATTCATTCTGCAGCACAGAAGCTACAGCCGGCGAGCTATCCACGTCGGCATCGGCCACATGGCGCAATTGGGCGTCGTTCCAAAACCCCCATCTGGCGGCCCGTCTTGGGCTACAAAAATGGGAAAATGATGGGCACGAAAGGTACGCAAAAGGGTTCGCGAAAGGTTTAGACATTGCCTTCGCAATGCAGCGCGTGAAGCAAGCCTTGTTACTGGAAAGTGCCTTGGCTTCATATTCATGCAGCTCTTGCATTAAGGAGTACATGCTCTATCTAGGGCTTAGCGAGGAAAGAAGCACGAGTGGTCAGTTGCTGCAACTGAGTGACATGTCCACCGCTCGGGACCCAGCAGCGGCCCGCAAATGCAAGCTTGAAGAACAAAATTGGCGGTTTCTCAGTTGCTCGTCATGGGCGAGTTTACCTATGGCTGAATTGCCCGAGTATATCTATGACTGGGTTGTCCGTTTTCATCCGTTTTCAATGTCGCAATGTGGTCGCGCGCAAAAGGTGCGCAAAAGGCGAAAGCGTTCGTGGAAGGGAGCGTAGCCCACTTGGCCATTTCCTGGATCGCGGATGCGTGGAAATGTTATGATGGTTGATCGAATTGGTGAGTTATTAAACTGACAGTTTTATGGTGTCCGCGAAAGGGTACGCGAAAGATCCAATTTCGAGAAGAACTGCTGAAATAGCCTCAACGGGAGGTAAGCGCAAAAGGAAAGTTCATGCTGCACTGCCTACATTGATGTATACGGCGTGTAAGCCTAACAACTGTTGGAGCCTTTGAAGTTTGATCCTGTTCATGAGGCTTCTTCCAGCGGCGGCATCCAGAAGCGCAGCCGTTCCGAAGCCCTGTTCGAAGGGCACTAAGTGCACTTGCAAAGAACCAGCTGCTTCGCAGTTTCAGTGATATGCCAGCGCTTGTTGTATTGACATCTGAGACTTTGCGACGAAGACACGAGTTCTGGAATGCCTATTTGCAGCTTTGCTCCTCGCAGCATGAGTCGTGTAGACCTCGGTCGCTCATGCGTGGTGCAGTTCGGTCAGCGTTGTGAGATCTCAATGCTGCGAGGCTGACACCCTGGAGAGGAAAGCATGGCGCGGTGTGCCGGACGGCTGCATTCGTACTTGCCTCATCGCAGTCCAACTGTTGGTAGTTGCAGTGGCACTGCGCAAAGCGTGCGATTCTGCAAGCTCAAGGAGCTTCAGATACCTGGTTCGGAGAGGCTGCCAAGAACCGGGGGATTCCGCAGATTCGGAGCTGAGTCGATGGTACTGTGCAAGTAATTTCCCTTGCTGGGTTTTGTAAAGTTCTTGTTGGCTAGGTGGCTCTTGGTTGGATTGTCTTAATCTGGAGCTGTTTTACTTGCTCCATTGCCAGACTATGCAAGCCGATGTTGAATGGCGTGACAACTTCTCTTTTAGCCCCTATGCCCCAGATCCCAGTCAAGTCTACGTTTTATTGTTGACCAGAGCAGGCTCCTAGACCACGCCAACCAAAACCCTGTTGTGTGACGACTATATTGTCGACATCGGAGTTCAAAGCACTTGGGGAACATGTCGTTTGCAACGTGCCTCTTTCACTGGCATAGAGGCTTCATGCGCATACCTTCTCGGACATGTGCCTCAAAGGCACATGGGTGTGCCCAGCTAAGCCAGAGTCGAACAGCCTCAGTGGCTGTCATCTCCAGTACCCCGAGCCTCGGAAGAGCGTGCAATGCAGGAATTCCCAAAGGTCCGCTGATAGAAGGCAACAAAAAACAAGGCATGTACTGCACCGCTTCCATCCATTTCGTGCCAGGTCACGGCAGATGCTCATCCTGAAAGTGCAGTCACGTCAGCCTGACAGTTTCAGCCATGTCAGCCTGCTCTTTGAATGCTTGGACTTACGGCGCTGACTCCACAGGTTGGAGAGGGATCCTTGCCCGCAGGGCGTTCTGCAAAATGTGTCTTGAACGAGCCTGTGAGGCCTAAAGTTGTGCGGTTCTTCCTTACTAAACTGCCCAGCGTTATTCTGGTCAGGCGATGCCACAGCGGCATTTGCGCTGCTTTGCTCGACTTCAGGCAAAGCCCATACATCTACGTGAAGATGGATTGCCATCATGTTTCAAAAAAGCAGGCGCTTTGGCGCGGGCACTCTCAGCGGACAATCCTTCGTGCTCGTGGTGTGGTGTGGCACCTGTTTCGGCCATGGTGCGAAGCTTACCACTCTAAGCACAGGTGCTTCCGGGAGACAAACGACAGGCGAAGCTGAAGCAAGCGGCAACGCAACTTCAGGCGATGCACACTATTTCTGGCTGTTGCTTGCGGCATCCCTACCATGACTGTCGTGAGGCCCCCCATGCCTCAAGTAGATAATATAATATACTAGGTATATATACATATATATATATACACACATGGGCATCGTCCAAACACTCCACGTGGAAGTTTTTATATAAAATGACCACGGCTGGCTTAGAAGGCTTTCCGCGAAAGGTCGCGATGGTGCTCACGAAAGGAACTTCGGATTTCGGGAAAGAAGCATCGCAAACTATAGTTCCTTACATACTTTCAATTATACTTAAGTATTTCTCTTCTTGCAGTCTGCAGGCATGCGTCCAGGCATGCTCAAAGGTGAACGGGTTGCAATTCTTTGTGAGGCTCAGTCTCAGAATTCTTGCCCGAAAATGTGCGAAAGACCCGCGAAAGGTCGCATAAGCCGAGCAAGCCCCCAGCATTGCAAGC